CCTGGGTTTAAATCCAAGCTCAGAATGTTTACTCGCTGTGAAAACTTGGCTAACTTGTTAACTTCATTTATTCTCATACAGAAAAAAGTTGAGGAAAGAAGTTGGGGCAAAAACTGGTTAATGAAACCAGATACTAAATGGACTTTCATAAAATAAGGTAGAAATGTGAAGTATTTCCAAAATAATGAAAGGAGTGATTTTACACATGCTTTCATACAATCATTCATAATATTTACTGAGTGCCTATTGTCCTCTAGGTAGAGAAATACAGGGGAGACAAGATGAGCCATTGTCTTTGGTGGGATGGGGAGACAGAATAACATTATACATGTAAGCAAATTAGTAGTTGTACACTGAAAACATTCTACTAAGAAAGGGAAATAGAAAGATATCAGTGAGAGTGAAAGAGTTGGTGTCTTATAAGACAGTGTTTTCCCTCTTTCTTTCCTCTCCAAAATCCATGAAATGTGAGAAAAAGATTTTGGAGCTTTGAATGAGGCCAAACACTGAACTGAGAATGTACTAGTGTTAATAAATATGACCCATGGATCCAAAAAGATACTTAAGAGTAATTGGTAGCTCTGAGGCTATGGAAAGATGATAGCCAGTGCTGCTACAATGAACACGTAATGAGGTGAAGTTTTCAGTTGAAAATAAAGTGGCTTAATGTCTATGTATTCTAACATAGTATATGTTAGAATATATACTATACTGTACTATATTATGCTATACTATACTATACTATACTATACTATACTATACTATACTATACTATAGAATGACCATACATCCCTCTTTGCCTAGGAAAGTTTCAGGCTATACTTGCTGCCCAAGCTTGTGAAAGATTGCATTTATGTTTTGAATTCTTTAGCCTTCCCTCTACCAATGAACTTTACTATATAACCTAGCTGTATTCCCCTGCACAGCGTGGAGCACACATTTCCAACCCTTAATTCTAGTTTTGGCCATAAACTTCCTTAAGAAAAGCCATGACTCAAACAAAGCTTGAAATGGATTGCTGAATATTTTAATACCAAAAATTGAGAGTTCTTTCAATACTTGAGAGTGGATGGAAACACTACAATTTCTACCTGAGATTCCATTTAGGGTAAGAGAAGAAATATTTGACACAGTATGGAGGAAACATACAGCTTATTTAAAACACAACCTTTTCATGTAACTGAACACCTAAAACAGGAGAATATTGTTTTGTTGGTCACCATGAGCAAGCAATAAACTATTCAAAACAGTAGGATTTGGGTACCAGATGGGAAATGCCAAATGTATCTTGTAAATTAGAAGTATCACCTGATAAAACTACCTATTCCATAAGAGGACTTGACATAAGTTCAAATGCACTATTTTATCCCCAGTGACTGCCATAGGGCCTGTACATAAGAAGTGCTTAGTAACTGTGTGAAGAATAAATAAATGGATTATTGGAAATCATATAAGAAAAAATGTTTTTTCATTTATGTATTTATACCATAAATACTTGTTGAGAAACTACTTGTACCATTCCCATGGCAGGTGCTGGGAGCAAGTTAGTGAACAAAACAAAAATCACAGCCCTTATACAGCTGATAGTCTGATTGGAAGAAATATAATAACTAAGGCACAAAATGTTCAGATGAGGCTGAGTGCTGTAGAGAAAATACACATCCAATAAAAGAGGTGAATGTGGTGGGATGGGACGGCCTTGCAACTTTAAAGGGGTGGTAGGAAAGTTATCACTAGAAAGAAAAGGGCATTTGAATAAACTTTTGAATGGTGTGAGGGTATAAGCGATGTAGATATTGAGAAAGTAAGAAGTGCAAAGGTCTTGAGACAGAAGTATACCTGATGTGCCCTCAGATGCAGCTAGATGGCTTGTGCAGGTAGGACAGAATAAAGGACAGAGTGCCTATAAAGAAAGAGTTCAGATAGGCCTAGATCTTATTAGGTTGCATAGACCTTACTTACAATTTTGGATTTTTTTTTTGCAATACTGGGGATTAAACCCAGAATCTTCTCATTAAGTTATGTCCACAGACCTTTTTAAATTTTTTTTTCGAGACAGGTTCTCACTGACTTGCCTAAATTAGGCTCAAACTTTTGATTCTTCTCCCTCAGCCTCTCAGAGTGCTGGGATTACAGGTGTGTGCCACCAGCCTGGAAGATTTTTTTATAAATAAAGTAGAAACACATTGACTTTGTTTGGGAGAGAGCATTGCATATTGGGAAAAACAAAGAGAAAAGCTGGAACCATAAAAGGCTGTTTTTAAATCCTAACATCATCACTGACTACAAGAGTTTGATCCAAATGATTGATTCAATTTTGGTTCTAAGATTTTTTCTTCTAATACGGTGGTAGTAATATCTTCCCCAGGCCATTATTGTAATGAAGATAAATTGGTAAAGTAAGTAATGCATATGAAAAAAATTCTGGAGCTCCTAAATATGACATTTTCTTATTCATGTTATTTTCCTCCCTGTAAAACAACAAAAAACACAAAATAATAATCTTAGGTAGGTATAACTAATGGAGCAAACAAAAGGACATTATTCTACTTCCCAAAACCAGTAAGGCAGAAACTGAGAGAAACTACTGCAGAAATAGCAACAAGAAATATGGAGTTGAGGCATTTTTAGGCTGCAAAGAGACTCTTTTTTGTTTTTTGTTTTTTGTTTTTTTGGTACTGGGAATCAAACTCGGGTGCAAAGAGACTCTTGTTAACCTAGTTAAGATAAAGGGAACTTAATTGGCCTAAGGGAAACTCCTAGTGATAAAATTGTGAAAACACATAAATTTGTGATGAGTGCTTCTCAGGAAATGAAAAGTAAAGGCATATTTAGAGAATCCACAGTATTATAATTGATTCTGAGAGAGACTTTAATATAAACAAAGTAGGGACAAAAGTTGAACCATTAGCATACATGTGATCATTGTATATTTCTACCTTCTCTCTTCTTGAAATAAGGTATGTTTTTAACTAGTACATATATCAATTCTTGTCTTAGTCATTAATCTTATGTTTAAGTATTATTTGTAACTTGTAAATGTACTAAACCTGTTGTATCTTGGTTCTGATTTAAATTTTCATGGAATGGTTGTTATAAGCATCCAACTCCTCAAGTTTCCTAGCTGCATGATCCCAGAAAATATTCCAACATAAAACCTTCTAGAGGCAACATTGCAAGAGAGATATGTGAAAGTTCACCTATGCCTTGAGAACTGTCACACATCTCCAATGCTATGTATAGGACGCAAGTGCAAAGATGCTTGATGTAGTCCAGTTCTCAGTTTTTCCCTTGTGATAACAGGGTTAATGATTTGAGAAAAGAACTATTTCTCAAAAAGAAAACTGCAGAAGTTGCTGCAACATCAAAAATCAACTTGGTTACTATTAAAATTATATTTAACAGAATTGCCATATCCAAGCTTCTATTTTTCAGTTGGCAATACACAGATGTGGATCTAAAGGAGGAAGTGTGTAACTTTCATCTTGTCTTGATTATTTTATGTTGATTACAAATTATATAGATGGAAGGAATGTAAAACAAAGTATAGTGAAGGCCAAGTAAAAAAGGGGATAGCAGTTCAGTGGATGAGAAAACCAATTTTGGAATTAGAAAGGCAAGTGTCCAAGTCAGAATTCCTCAGCTTACTACCTGTGTGACCCCTGCCAATTTGTTTCACTTCTGTAAGTATATTTACTGATCCTAAAAGGATTATGAATGCTGTATTGTTAGATTGTTATGAAAATTTAGTAAGAATGTATACAGAGTTCTTGTCACACAATCTTGAACATAATAAACACTCAAGTATTCTACTTGCCAAGTTATGTTATTAGCTTTCTTCGTGATAATAAGCACTCACTGAACTATCAATAGCTATCAAGTTGTTATTAGGTCTTCATTATCGAGGAAAGAAATAAAATAATTGATATGTCAGTATTCACTTTTGGCAAATTTCAACTCAATTTTCCGTTGGCCCAGTAATTCCCTGAGGGTGAGGAGTGTGTTAATGTATAAGAAAACATTTGAGGAAATTTTGTCACCCATTGTGCTAGAACATAAAACTTTCAGATGCACTGAACAGTTAAACAGGATTGACATACTCCATCCCAGGAAAATGTCATTCCTTAAGGATGTAGCAGTGAATGACACAGACTAGACCACAGCTAATGGAAAAAGCCCAACGTCATTTTTCTGATTCTTTCTCATGGTCTGTAGAGCACTGGCTTTTGCTTCTTAGTGGGAGCAACCTTTTCTTAACATAGAATGTCGGGTGTGGACTTGGTCAGGACCTAATTAGTTAAGCTTTATTTTATCAAATACTGTAAGTCTCCATCCTCAAATATGTGAAATAAAGTGTAATGACGGCCAAGAAAAGAAGGGGATAGTGAAAATAATTCCGAGAGTCAAAACCGTCTATGGAAAGAGCATATTCTAATTTATTTTTTCATTTTTAATTTTTATTAGGACATGTTCTTAGTACATAATGATTATATTTGTTGTAGGGAATTGGTACGTGTACATAACACATCTCATTTCTTATTTTCCCCCTTTCCTCCACACCTTTTTTTTATTTTACCAGCATCAAATTCATTTATTTATCTTATAAGTCCTTGATTTCTAAACTTCCGTTTGTAAATTTGGTGGTATGTCCCTTTAACAAGTAGAGAGTACTTGTTACATAAGCGCTTTCCTGGAAGAATTTTGGGAGCAGCAGGCATTGTTAGCCTAGAGCAGGCGGACTCATTTTTAAAATGGGGCGGGGGGGGGGGGCAAAATAGAGGACAGGAGATCGCAGATGCTGAGGTGGAAGGAAGTGAATAGTAGCAGTACCTGCGGAGGAATCCTAAAGACCTTGTGCTTCTCTCAGTCTCTGCCACCTTTTAACCACTGGTGATTGGTGATATTTATTACGATTTTTCTGAACTGTCACCCCTTGTTTGGTTGCTGCCAATATAATCGTAACTAACGTACATGACAAAGACTGCTGTGGTAAAGCCTGAGATCGCCATGGCTGCTGAACAGCTCCATGTAGAAGTCTACATCATGAACGGAGACGAGAGATGGGACTGCATAGGTATGGGGCAAGTCTCAACCATTTACGATGAGCAGCTTCAGGGTGTGTGTCTCCTTGTTCAGTCAGAGTCAGGTGACTCAAGTATTTTACAGTCCAAAATACAGCCAAACACACCCTATTGGAAAAAACGGAGTACGTTAATTGTTTGGTCTGAAGATGAGTACATTAGTAGGGCTCTGAGTTTCCAGGACCCAGAAGACTGTCAGAAGATCTGGGAAGAAATATGCCAAGTTCAAGGTAAAGAGCCAACAGTGGAAGCCACACAAGACGTTTTAGATGAAACGGAACAATATGATGAAATGTTAGAAACCAGTTACCTTGTTCAGCCGCCTAGCTGTGAACTCGGTACAGTTGGTCACCTTGCTGATATCTTTAATTCGTTTTTTGTTTCACCTTCCCGTAAGAAATGCCTGACTTTTATCTTGAAAAATGGGGATTATATTAAAAAATTACTAGAGCTATTCCAAATTTGTGAGAATCTTCAAAATACAGAAGAGCTACATCATTTGTATAGCATTGTTAAAGGAATCTTACTCCTCGATAAAACTCCTCTGTTTGAGGTTATGTTTTCTGATGAGTGTATTATGGATGTGATAGGATGCCTTGAGTATGACCCTGCTGGGCCTGAGCCAAAAAGGCATAGGCAATTCTTTACCCAAAATGCAAGATTGAAGGAAGTTATACCAATAACAAATTCTGAACTTAGGCAAAAGATACATCAGACATACAGAATACAGTACATTCATGATATTCTTTTACCCAAACCATCCATATCTGAAGAGAATCTTCTCCCTTCTCTTAAAAATTTCATTTTCTTCAACAAGATTGAGATAGTCAACATGCTACAGGAAGATGACATGTTTTTGTCTGAAATTTTTGCACAGTTAAGAGATAAGGCCATAAATGGTGATAAACGGCGTGAACTGCTATTTTTTTTGAAGGAATTCTGTGAATTTTCCCAGGCATTATATCCTCAAAGCAAAGATGCACTGCTCAAAACATTGGTAAGACTGGGTATTCTACCTGCCCTTAAAGTTGTTATGAGCATAGATGATTTCCAAGTAAAGACAGCTACTACGACTATATTTGCTTATCTGGTGGAGTACAATCCATCTACAATCCGGCAGTTTGTAATGGGCGAAGCTCAGAAGAGTAAAGATGATGAACTTCTAATTAATGTAGTAATTGAACAAATGATCTGTGATACTGATCCTGAACTTTCAGGTGCCATGAATTTGATGGAACTTCTTCGTTCTCTGCTTGACCCAGAGACCATGCTGATATTGCCTTATGAATATGAAAGACATAAGTTTCTAAATTTTTTCTATAAATATTGCATGGATAACTTAATAGCACCACTTTTATCTAGCACTGAAAAAGACAAAGATGAAGAGGATGATAGATTTGGACCTGACAGAAACAAAAATCGCCCCAATAATTATCAAACAGCACGATTGCTTGGTTTAATTTTAGAACTATGCACATTTTGTGTACAACATCACACATACTACATTAAAAACTATATTTTGAATGAAGACTTGCTAAGAACAGTCCTGATGTTGATGAATTCAAAGCATACTTTCCTGCTCTTGAGTGCTGTTCGTTTTATGAGAGAGATGATTGGCCTTAGAGATGAACAATATAATAGTTACATCATCCAGGGAAATCTTTTTGAGCCAGTTGTAAATGCTTTTTTGGCTAATGGACATAGGTACAATATATTAAATTCAGCTATTATTGAGCTATTTGAGTATATAAGTATCCGAAATATCAAGTCACTTGTTGTACATGTAGTTGAAAGATTTTATAAGGCTTTTGAACTGATTGAATATGTTCAGACATTCAGAAGACTGAAGATTAAATATGAACAAGAAAAAGACAGACAAAGTCAAGCAAGGAAGACTTTACATTCTATACTATATGAAGATACCAAAGTCATGGATGTGAAGGAAGAAATGCACCTCAGTCAAAATAGAAGAGAAGCAGTTACGCCACCAATAGGAAACAATTCAGATCGTGATGAAAAACTTACAGAGGCTGAAACACAGAAAATGAAGCTACACCTTCCCAAAAGAACATCTTCTGGTGGTTTCAGATTTTCTTCATCTTGTTCTGATGGTGCTGGTGGTGGAATGAGTATTCCACAGAGTAGCAGGGTAGCTACTTTAGTGGATTATCCAGACAATAATGAAGAGAAAGAAGACAAAGAAGATAAAACATCCCCCAGTAAAAGACCTCATCTTAGTTCGTAAAACTTAACATCTTAGTTCGCAAACACTCAACTTCTGGTTCAGCTCAAATCTTGTAAATGTCAATAAGCCAAAAACTCTGAATCTAAAATATTTCTCATGTGGACTTTTAAAAATATATAACAAGTACCAAACATGAACTAAGAGGGGTTAATTCTGTAAAAACAAAGCTTCCCATAATATACACTTCTAATACAAAAGTAACCAGCATCTGAATGATTACTTTGTATCACTTCTTAGTTTGAGAAGATGAAACAGGTTGACAAAATAATATAGGTTTGACCCAGAGGTATATATTAGAAACAATTGTAAAAGTTCATTTGGCAAGTCTACAACATTAATTGCATAAAAAGTCTAGCCATAATATACTTTCTGTTAGCTTTTTTATTAGTATATGCTTGCAGTACATAATGTTTACATATCTTGTGGGGTATTGGTAACAAAGTCAACTATAAAAAGATAAAATTAGATATTTTGGGCATTTCTGTCAAGCTTTAGCAAAAAATCAACCTTATGAATCATTAGAGGAAAGCAAATTTTATTATGTATATTCATGAACAAAAAAATATATATGAGTCCAAAATGTGCACTCGTTAATACAATTAAAAAAAAATCAGTACAGTACAATTCCCAAAGGATTTGCTCTACCTCTGGACTGAGTACAGCAAGGTGCTTTCTTCTGCCTGCGTTGTGAAAATTAAATCCTGATTCATTAATGAATTTTGTCCTTCTTTCCAGAGCAGCCGATACCTTTTAGAGTAGACAGTAATTTATAAATACCGATATTAAACAGTGCTGAATGAAATATCTAAAAACCATTTTGGGCCAAGAAAAATGTTATTAAAGTGTTAAAGTCAGTATCAGCACGTAAAGTTTTATCATAAAGGTACAAAATAAAAGATGCTATATTAAAGAGTACATGCGAGTGAATTTCTGAAAATAAGTTCCAGAAAAGAGTTCAGAAGTTTTATTTTTAGAGGAGCAAGTTAACTGGGTTGATTTTTCTTGGAATCATTTAAGTTGAAAAACATTTTTTTTACCTATTTTGAAGATTTTAAAGTTAATGTTAATGTAGGCCCTTAGATTCTCCATGTAGACAGGTGGTATCATTTTCTGTATGATTTTATTCTGTATTTAAAAATACCACCATACTTGTTTTGTACTTGTGATATTTATACTGAACTATAAAATTCAGGAATTAAAATATGATCTTGTAACTCTTAAGAATAAAAGAAACCAATCAAATTTACTATTCTGCCAATAGGAGACACAACTTATGCAAAACTAAGAGACTGCTTTGTAAAACCTAGAGAGATTATATTCCTAAAACAACAAGCAATAATTTCATCAGATATAAAGTCTGTTAAAGTACTGACATGACCTCAGGAAATATAATTACACGTTGCCGGGGACAAAACACCACAAGGAAACTGCATTTTCACACTTCTCAAGCACTACTAGTTAAATTTTTTAACGAGATTATTTATGTTGTGATTGTATGTCAGAAAAGGTAGTTTGTTAGAGAAGTTTTTTGTGTTTTCCTTCTTGCTAGACTGTCATGGGGACAGTTATTCATAATACAGCCATGTAGTTTGATTTTGAGAAAAATATATTGAAATATTCATTGTGGTAGATGCTTCCACAGTTCTTTAACAGCACAGCTATTTACAACTAGACCAAAAGAAATTTTCAGTTTTGATATTTCCTTTGTGTTCTTTTCCTATCTGCTAGTTTAATCTGACACAAAAATGGGCACTATTCAAGGAAATAAAAGAATATGTACATTTCTTTCTATATTTTTCCAAATGAGTTTGTAAGGGAAGACTAAAAACAGATATGTCTAAGGTAAAGTGAATGTAAATAAAATGTGAAGATGAAAGGTAAGCATTCTATTGAGCTCTGTAACCTCTGTGAGCCCTTTTCTAGTTTCAGCTACTTAAGGGAACCAGCATGACAAGTGAAATGGTGAAAAGGCAAATTGCCTGTCACATGGCATAACCCACTATTTAAGGGAACATTTAAGAGTGCAACAAATCACAGAAGAGCAATCCTTACTGTCTACACACTGAGTGAAAAGTTGACCAAAATGTTCAGTTGGTCTATCTGCATTGTGTGTAGATACCATATCAAGAATGTTTAATTTCATCTTTAAGTTTTTTAGAAACAATTGAAAGGACCCTTAAGTCGGTTATTAATGTTATACAAAGAAGAAACAATTTGAAATTGCCCTGTATTTACTATAAAATCCAGGCAGGCATTTTTGGCAAAATGCCCTGGATTCATCAAGTTTTTGACTTTAATACATAACTACAGTAATTGTTATGGCTTAGTGACTTTCTAAGCATACCAGAGAGGGGAGGGTAATATAATAGATTAAGTAAACTTCATATTCAGACATCCCTTGATGATGATGGAAACTCTGACACAATTCCATGACCATTTAACATTTTCTATGAATATTTACTTATTTTCTCCACTATTTGCAACTTTCCATCTTGTCATAAAAAATTAGACACTGTATGTCAATTACCCATAACATATTTAGTACTCAAAGAGTAGCTTTTAAAATGCACTATCAAGCTGGGTGTGGTGACACACACTTATAATCTAAGCATTCTAGGGGGTTGAGGTAGCAGGGTCATGAGTTCAAGCCCAGCCTGGGCAACTTTAGCGACTTAGTGAGACCTCATCTCAAAAATCATAAAAAAGACCCAAGGATGTAACACAGAGCTAAGGCCCTGAATTCAATCCCCAGTAGTACAAAATGAACAAAATTAAAAAGCAAATAAAGTCATTATTAGCAGCAGAATTTTTTTCCAAATGAATATAAGGGACAAATGTAGCTATACCCACTTATAGCACTAGCTGTGCTCATAAATTTGTAGTAATTATTCTGGATCAAACTGATAGCAATAAATAAATTAAAAAATGAGTTCAATTCTGATTGGCAAAGTCTGCATGTATACTCTTTGTCCTGCTGAGGCACAACTGAAGTAAGAAAAGAAAGACTCCATAGGAAGACATTTGGGTGGACTGATATCTGGCAGGTTAACCAAGAAAGGAAAGAGAAGTAAGAAGAGAGATGGGAAGGAATTGAAGATTACAAAAAGTGCCAGATCATTAGGTCTCCATGCCTCATCCAAGAAGGCAGAGCAGTCTACTAGAATGTATCCTTAAGTAACAAAACAAGTGTCCTTTCCCTGAAACAATTGAAATAATAGAGGAAGCTGAGGACCTTGTTACGGATATTGTTGCCTCAGAGTTAAGCCTTTTTCTTTAGGATTGCTATAGTTTGAATATGTAATGTTCCTCTAAAGGCCTATGTATTAAAAGTCTTGGTCCTCAGCTTAGCACTATTGGTAGGTGGTGGAAACTGTAAGAGATAGAGCATAGTTGGAGAGCTTTAGGTTATTGGGGATGTGCCCTTGAAGGGGATAGTGTGAGACACCAGTTCCTTCTTCCTCTCATCTGCTTTCTGACTCTGAGATGAGAAGTTCTGCTCTACCACATGCTACCCCTATGATATGCTGCTTTGGCACGGGTCTAAAAGCCACAAGGCTAAGCAATAGGGCCTAGTAATCATGGACTGAGACATCTGAAACTGTGATCCAAAATAAAGTTTTTATCTTTCTAAATTGTCACAGGAATTTGTCATAATAATCAGAACTAATACCAAAATGTTGGTTAATCTGAGATCCTGAAAGTTTACCACCCCTAATGTAGAAGTCACAGTATTCGAGGGAGAGAGACATGCTAATAATGCCTGGCTCCCACCCAAAAGGTACAATCCCAAACATACACATGAAAGAAAGTCTTCACAATGGGTCAGATCCTGGCCAAGAGGTATTGACATCAACCAAGGAATAAGGTTGATAATGCTAGCAGGTAAGCCTTCAGGTTCATAGTTTAGTTAGAATAAGTGGCCCTAGTCCTTGTTTTGGAGAGTCTGCTAAAGAGTATTCAAATCCAATCTACTTGTTTGTCTTGGGGGCATGACATTAGTATCCTCCATGGTATGACTAAGAGTGGAGCTGGAGATGACATACAGAGTGATGTGACACATGTGTGTTCATGTAGGGGTGAAGAGGTTGGGGATGTGGGGTTTGTGTGTGTAGTAGTGGAAGAGCTGAAGCTAGGATCATCCCTACCACTTCTGATAGAACTCTTCATAAAGTAAAGGGTCAGAGCTATCTTAACAGGGATGGCAAAACAGTCACTTAAATTGAAGATACTTGTAACATTTTCAGACAGCTGCACCAGAATGTTTTCCTTGGCTGGGAAGATTTCTGAGGCAGTTCTGATAGACAAAGGTCAGTAGATCTCCTCCTTCCTTTGTACAATATTAGATACAGGATCATTGCTCTTCCTCCAAATATGTAATATCCAAGTGTTCCTTTCAAGTAAATATAACCTTAATATTTAGCTTTTTCAATCATACTATACACACATCCAAACTTCTTATATACGATAAGAATTAAGTCTGAATATCACACTCCCTGATTTTACCAGGCTGCTGCTCACAGGGAATACCAATCAGGTTGGCATGGGGAAAGAAATATGCATCATGCTTAGGAATGGTCAGGACGTAATTGCTAAATTATGTCCCCTCAAAAATCATATGTTGAAGTCTTACTCCCTCAAAACCTCAGAATGTGACTGTATTTTGTTAGTCTTTAAAGAAATAATTAGCCAGGCGTGGTGGCGCATGCCTGTAATCCCAGCACTCGGGAGGCAGAGGCAAGAGGATTGCCGTGAATTTGAGGCCAGCCCAGGCTACACAGTGAGTTTAAGGCCAGACAGCCTGAACTATATAGCAAGACCCTGTCTCAAAAAACCATTAAAAAAAGATAAGTTAAAGTGAGGTCATTGACATGAGTCTTAATCCATCATGACTGGTATCTGTAAGTGAAGATCAGGACACAGATACACATAGAGGGAAGGCAATGCAAACTGAAAGGGAGAAGGAGGTCATCTACAAAGAAAGGACAGAGGTCTTAGAGTAAAGCAATCCTGTGGACATCTTGATCGCAGACTTCCCACATTCAGAACTGTGAGGAAATTATTGTCTGTTGTTTAAACTATCAGCATACAACAATTTGTTCCAGCAGGACAGCAAGCTAATACAACCACATGATAGGAAATAATTTAGTGAGAATTGAAAAAGACATACCCTGTAAATA